GGGGTTGTTACTTTGTGAGGGTGAAAAGGGTAACTATTGCATTGTTCTGTACACCTGAAACTAACAATAAAAAAAAAAAGAAAAAAAAAAGAAAACTAAAGAGACGTGGCAACCACAAAAAAAAAAAAAAGAATATAGTCAATAATAAGTTAATAACTATGTATGGTGTCGGGTAGGTACTAGACTTATCAGGGGATCACTTTGTAAATTATATAAATATCTAACCATTATGCTATACATCTGAAACTAATATAATATTGAATGTCAACTGTAATTGAAAAATTAAAACAAATTTTTTTTTTAAAGTACCAATGTCAGATCAAATTTCAGGAGGGTATGATTATTGTAATAGCCCAATTATTGTTTTTTGAATATGACAAAAAATGATGATTACAAAGATTAACAATAAATTATTAACCTGAAAAAAGATAAAGAATTATTTCATCTTATTAAACCAAAATAATCTTGTTTTTATTATTTAATTATTCAAATAATTCAGATCTTGAGAGCAAATAATGCTGTGTAATAGGGTTTGAAGCAAGTACGTGTTCGTATGCCTGGTGGCAGAGGCTCGCTAATGATCTGGAGAGATTATGGTGAATTATCTTGCTTTCATTCAGATTTTTGCCATACACAGAGGAAGCAGATAGAACACCGTACACAGTTGCTGCTCTCTTTATCTTCATAATGTTAAAAAGTTAAACCCAGAAATAACCATTGGCAGAATCATATCACGTTAAGAACAGAAAATTTTCTTATATGTGGATTGTCTAACTCTGTTATCTTCCTAAAGGTGTTCAGGGGTTCAGAATTCCAGGGGTTCTTAAGTAATGTGATAGAAAGTCAAGTATCACGTATCACATGCCACTAGCTTTCCAGTCCTTACCACTGCTTGAGTGTCAGGCAATAATTAAAGAAAAAGTTTATCAGAGGACATCTCTATCTCCACTACCAGAAAATATTCAATAGCTCATTCCTCACATTAGTTTAAATATCAAACTTTTATAAATAGCCTATTGTAATGGATAAACGATTGCTTGATACGAGATGAAAAGATGTTATTTTTAAAATGTTCTTATTACATGTTAAGATTAATGTTGGTTTGTAACATTTGAAAAAAAATATTTTAGAAGTAGGTTAATAAAAACTATTAGGAAAAGACAGACTTTTTGGAACCTGGGTATTGTATGAATGGAGACAATTATTATCATTAAGTTCTAGCATTTATCTGCCTAAAGAAATCAAATTACTTTTATTTTGTTAAAATTGTAGGCATGCAGTGGAAATTTTTTTTCCATTCCTGTCCATCATTTTTTTCTTTATTGTGCTATCTACTGCTTAATATATCTGAAAAAAAATGTATCCCAATTTTGAAAATGTTCAATTAACACTTGCTATGTTGATAATTTAACTCTCTCTCCCCCTTATGAGAAAGAAGAGTGACAGAGAGAGAGAGAGAGAGAGAGAGAGAGAGAGAGAGAGAGAGAATGAATATTTATTCTCAATATAATATTTATTGCTATTTAGTCAATTACAGTTTTTGATGATTCACTATGAGGAAACCCAAAAGGTAAACCTATATCCTTTCTTTTAAAAGCAAATCTTTCTTTTTTTTTTTTAAAGTCCTGTAAAGTAGTATTACGTAGGTAGCTGATACCATAGGAGTAAATACAATTATCCAGAGAAAGAAAAGAGGAGCAGCTCCAGGAAGGAGCTGAAGAGTGCTTGTGCTTTTTTTTTTTTAAATTAAATTTATTGGGATGACATTGGTTAGTAAAATTATATAGGTTTCAAGTATACATTTCTATAATACATCATGATATATCTGACCCCCTTTTAAAGCACAAATATAATAGAACAAATATAAAAAGAAGTCTAGGAAGACACTGTCAGAGTAGTAATGCCAGCAAAAATTGTGGAGTACAGACCTCCATAAATTCTCTCCTCCATAAAAGCAGTAAGAAAACTCAAAAACTGCCACCACCAGCTTTTTCAAAACTCTGGCAATTAACCAGAGATTTGTAGTAATCCATGAAGTAGTTTGATCAAGTTACTTAAAACATATGGTAGAGGAAAGTTCCAGAGTTATTGAGAAGGTGGTGGGATTTTGTTCTTTCTTTTTATGATGATGATGATGATTACATTAAAATAAACTTTCCAGAGATCACAATGGCAGAGGGTTCAACTGACCAGTAATAGTCAGAGATAAAGTGTCATAAAGTAATATGGAATCAACACAATAGGGAGAAAGCTTGTGCAAGTCAGAATAAGAATCATTGGGAAGGTAAGTGACTTAGAATGTCCAGAACTAGATAGAACCTCTAGAATGGGGCAGTAGTTAATAAATGCTGTTAGTTGTGATACTATGCTTTCAGAAATATCATTCTCACATTGTCATTGATGTTGAATTTTAAAATTGTGCCTATGAATCACCGACTATATGTGTGTGGTAGACAATTTAACGGTGATAGCCCCAAGTCCCATTTTCACCAGTTGTTAGAAATTCTGGCAGGAGGAATTTCATAACTTGATACTGCTGAGATCAGGTGGTGGCCATAAAGGTTCAGGGTTTGGCAACGCTCTGAGTTGAGTGACAGAGCTGGGAGGATGTGATGATTGACAGCCTGCAGGAAGTAACATCAGTTTGAATGTATCAGTTTTAAACACATGTATGCTCAGAAAGTCTGCTTCACTTTCTTAAGCAAAGTTCTGTGGATGAAAAGAGTCATATGATATTAGCAAGCAGGCCCAGGCCTTCTGGAGACCAACCTCCATAAATGAGGGGCTGGACAGGAGTGCGGTTACACTTACAGGCTTCTAGGCTGAACAGCTGCCCAAAAAGGAAAATGAGTGAGAAATACAGTAACCCTTTACTTTTCATGGACACAGGTTCTCATCATATAATATCCAGGTGCATAGACCCCATTTATAGTAATTCTCAATCTTGAATCACAAATTTTAAATCTGAACAAGATGCACTGTAGATGAATGACACAAAGTAAAAGAATGAATTGAACTGGGAATGCTACCAATATAGGAGGCACTCTAATTGAAGAAAAGAACACGACTGTTTCATCTATCAGACAGAAGTTTTATTACTGTTAACACATTTCACAGAAAGGTGATGATGTTTCCCCCCTGAAGAAAAGCAGTAAGAATTGTATTTCACAGCTGAACTTCCATGTTTTCTTATGCCTGAACCACTAAGGATACTTTTCGCTAAAAATTGCAATCAGAAATCAAGTTTGGGTAAATGTGGGAGACGAGCTCCGCAGATCCAGGGGTTCCCTCAGCTGGAGGTGGAGTGGAGGCGGAGTTGGCGAGGAAAAAACACTAAGCGGAGACACAGGAGCGCTTTCTCAAGAAGAAGTGTCTCACTTTATTTTACAGCATGCCCCTTTTTATACTGGGCAGTTTAACCATTGTTTCATTAGTATCAGGGTTTTACTTCCTCATAATTCTTATGCTCCAGGGTACAGCTAGACCTTTTCTATGCTAAAAACTAACTTATCCCAACAACGCCCAAATCTCTCCACCCTCAATCACTACAACCAAGGCCTGAGCCTTTACATAATCGCCTAAAGGAGGGTTACCATGACCACCCAACATTGATTCTAAAAACTATTGTCTAAGCAGGATCTTAAGATTTACAGGATGTGTACTTTGACCTTTACTAAGAGACTAGTAGTGTGACTAAAATTGCCCTCCTGTATAAAATATAATTATTGTGATATATCTATTAGAAGGGGTGTAAGATCTTCGTCCTACTGGGGGGCATCCAAAGGGGAATTTAAATTCTTTAAGATATAAAGCAGTATCTGTTTCTCAGTCAGAGCTTCAGAATTTGTCACGATTGCAGTGTGTTTGGCCATGTCAGATACTGAGGCGCAGACGGCTCCCGGCAGGTAAATGCAAATTTTGAAAGCCTAATAATTTGTCTTTGTTTCCAGACTGAACAGAAAATAATGTCATTTATGAGCTTTGGGCTAAAAACTTGTGAAACCTTATAAATACTGACTGTAAATCTATAAATACCTATCTGTCATTATGATTACATTCATTGTATGGTATATAAAGCTTTTCTTTTTCTTTTCAAAGGTATTTTTGCTTAGCATATTAATTTCAAATTTGTAGGTAACAATTGTTAGGACTACTGTATTCATAAAATCTATATTTTTTCTCATTTGTAGTTTGGTTGCAACAAAGGAAACAGATAGTGCAAGATCTCGAAGTGCTCCAATGTCACCTTCTGACTTTCTGGATAAATTAATGGGGAGGACATCTGGGTACGATGCAAGAATCAGACCCAATTTTAAAGGTAATTGTTCTGATTAATACTGTATATGAAATGTGTTTTAAATATGATTAAACAAGATACATTTTTAAATAGATACCTCCAAAATTTCTGATGGTTATTTCCAATAATCTTCCAAAGTATGTCTTATTAGTCAAAGTATGTCTTTAAAAAGAAATCTATTCTCATGTTCATAGCTATCATAATTTGTCTTCTTTGGACCAACAGTGTTTTTTTTTTCCCCTTCTCTAATTGTTATAATACTTATTGTCATGACAATTCATTTTAGGAAATTATATATTATATGTAACTTTAGTATATATTCTTACTAACTGGAATGGAATGGTCTCACTAATTGGAATGGAATCCTCATTAGAGCTGACAATAAACCTTCCCATATTTTAAATCCCCCAATGTCAGGACTCTCTTGTGGAGAATCAAATAGTTGTTGAATTTATGTCCTGGAGAAGAGTCTAGATAATTAAAAGCCTCCGATAATGTTTAAGAAATTATTCTACCTACCAAATGTCTTACCAAAATTTATAGGAAAGAGTGTAATTATCAGCTTGAGTACTCTTTCTTTTTCTGTTTGTATAGTGATAAGTAACTTATTTATACAAGTTATAGTGGATTATCCAGAACTACCATATGTCTTGTAATTTAATCTAGGGTAAAGGTTAGAAAACTGTTTCCATGCCCTTACTTATTTAATATCTCTTGAAATTATTCGATTTAATAAAAGATAGTCTAAGTTATAAGAATATACATCTTTTCCATGGGATTCAACTAAGCTATTTCTATTCCTAAAGATGAAAAAAACCCACAATGTATTCTACAATACTTCTTTTTTTCCTGAATTTGTTCTTATGGGATTGAAAAAGAAAGATTGCTTAGCAATGGTATAAGAATTAATTAGAGAGGATTAATGAATACCAAAAATGGATAGCAGGAGAAAAAGATAGACGTAGAATTTGTTGATAATTTATGAATAGAAAATTGCTTCAATTTAAAAATGAGTTTAACATTTAAACTGTGGGTTGCATTTTTTGACTTGTTTTTAAGCATTTTGATCATAAATATTTTCAACTAGAGGGGAGGAAAATACTGAATACAAGCTGAGAGAAAGTACTAGTGTTAAAGGGGTGAACGAGACCAGCTCGCTCAACCGAATGTCCCTGGCTTGTCAGCCAGGAGCTCACCAAACAGGTCCCTGAGAGGACTGGGAGGGAGACGAGAAATAAAAGAGAAGAGAGACAAAGTGCGGGAACAGGAGGGACTCAGTCTGCTGGTGGCAAAACTGAGACCTTGTTTATTGGGTATACAAGATTCTTAAGGGGAAGTGATTTCCTCATTTTAGGGAGCAATTCTCTAAAGCTAAAACTCATGGGCTGAGGAGAAACAGTTTCTCCTCAGCAACAAGCTATGTTATACACAATATAAACCAATGATATAGCTAGGCAAGGTTAAACTGAGGCAAATAGAAACTGTCTACAAGTCCACAGTAGAGAGTCCCAAGCATGTGAAGCAGGTCCTTGGTGGAAAGTCCCAGAGTGGTGATGTATGTTGAAGCTGCAAGTCCATAGTCCATGAGCAACTGAGTCCCTTAGTCCATAAGCTTTTCCTATCAGCAAGCTGGGGTCTTTACTCTTGGCACTTGCGTTGTCTGGAAGCAGTTTAAGGCAGAAGCACTGTCCCACAGGTCCCCACCAAACTGCTCCAAGGCTGCTCACCCCAGGCATGTATCTACCTGGAGACCCAAGCTTGCCAACCTAAAGCCTCAGTGTCCCTGGCTGGTCCCAGCCAGCTCCCAACAAAGGGGTATCATGTAAAAATGAAAATGAGAAATTTCAGCATTCTGAGGATCTTTTACAAATTGAGGGAAAGCAGTATCCTCATACAGACATTTGTCTTTAATAAAATTATTGCGTGTGCTGTTATTGTGTTATTCTCCAAAACAATTCTCTTTTAAAAAAATCTGATCTCTTCTATCATCTACGGCTAACATCCTTCCACTCATATCCTTCACTCTTGATCCTTCCCTCTAGATATAAGGAGAATAGTTCAGATTTGTCCTCTACATCACTTTTTGATATTACATGGTATCATTTGTATACTTTTGGAATGTTCAGGAACATTTTAGTTCTGTACTCGTACTTTGGTTTCTTGACAGTCCTCTTTATCCTGAAACCATTTTCCTTGAATACGAAGTCATGGGGCTGTGTCACATGTTGCTAGGCAGGTGCTATTTTGTATGTTTAGCTGTTTTTTTTTTTTTTT